TTCCGCATGCGAAAGTTTCGCAGCCACTGGGATTCATCCCAGACCAGCAGCACTGTGCGGTCCCACCACTCAGTGCTTGTTTCCCGGGCCCAGAATCGCCGTTCCATGGCATCAACATGACCCATTGCCACCGTGATGTCCTCGGCGCTGGGTCCCGTGCTTTGTGACCGGTCTGTGCCACTCTCAGACTTCATGTCCTCATCGCGCTGCCGTAGCCTCCTCGCCTGACTTCTCTGCATCTGCCTCAGGGAAAGGTGGATGATAAGCTGCGAGGCGTTGAGAGCGGCCACAACTGCAGCGATGGTCGCAGCGGGCTCCATGCTCGCACTGCTGTGGCGTCCGCGCTGTCAATGACTAGAAACGTGCGCGAACTGATTTCCCGCCGGCGCTTTCAGGGAGGGAGGGCGGGAGTGATGGACGGATGATGACAGTTACCCAAAAGCACCCTCGAGACATATTTTTTTACCCAGAAGGCATTTGCGGCTCCACCCAGAATTCCAATGGGCAGCGGGGACTGCGGGAACTGTGGGATAACTGCCCACAGTGCACCGCTTCCAATGTCGACGCTTTCCCCGTTACTGTGGACTCACAAAGTCGAATTACTGTCCTTAGTGTGGACACGCACGTTCGACTTTGCAATATCGATTCCAAAAATTCGATTTAAGTAAAATCGAATTACTCTCGTAGTGTAGACATACCCTTGGTCACTGCATAAGCTCACTACTGCTCTTCTCTGAATGATAGGTCTTTTGATGAGCTCAGAGAGAAGAACTGTTATGCAATTTACCTTTACCTCCCTCACAATAGTTGGTATAAAGGCAAATGGCTGGCAAAAGACCAACAGCAAATTTGGGCAGTAATCCCTTTATTCTCCTGCTGTGTGGTTATGAGGTAGAACCTGCCCCTGCATTTGGCTATGTAGGGACCACTTGATCTTGTTCAGTGAGCTCCCTGACAACACTCTCAAGAGCCTGGCATTATACGGTAATTGTCATGAGTGGAATCTGGGACTCTACCATAGGGAAATGGGAGTACAGAATACCTTATGAGGCATTCCACATCCAGCAAAAGAAGAGAAGATTACCTCTACAACAACAATTTTCAACCCGTGGTTTCCACAGAGGTCCACACCTCCATTCAAAATTTTTTAGGGGTCTGCAAATGAAAAAAGGTTGAAATCCACTGCTCTACAACATAAAAATTAGTACCAGAACTGCAGAGAGTAGAAGGCATGTGGAACTGTTATGGGCTAGTAGCCTGGGAACCTTTTTCTGCCAAATCACACTCTAAATGTGGTTTCCAGTTTTCCCATTCAGAAAATTGTGTTGGTGTCTGTCACTTTGTAATTCTAAATAGCAGGGAGCTGAGTTAAAATTCCAATGATTATGATCTCCCAATGTCTAGGTAACTAAATACATGTTGACACACCATGTCACAGGAGTTTTTAGACCTTAAATGCTCTGTGATTTGCACTGTTTATTTAGATAGAAGTTAAATGGTTTGAAATTAGCACCTGAATAGCATCCCTTCTATAGCCTGAAACAGATTATATACCCCTGAAAGGTCTAAATTTAACTGCCAGGTATAATGAAGGAACCCAGAGGAATTTACTCTTAATACCCTATATGTATCTTATTTTCAATGTAAGCCATTCAGGACAAGGATCCTGTTTCCTTATATATCTATAAAGCACCATGTATGGTTGTCATAACTATAAAGGGAAGGGTAACAGCTGTCCTGTGTACAGTACTATAAAATCCCTCCTGGCCAGAGACTCCAAAATCCTTTTCCCTG